GAAAGGACCCTTGGATGTCACTTTCGAATTTTGACAATTTGCAGTTTAAGCGTGCATAATATGGCACAACCTTTATTATATAGAAATTTTGTAGATGCATTACATGGCACTTCTTGAGGTGGAAAGGCAGTAGGCAAAAACATCTAAAGTTCAATTTTCTTATTGTAAATTGTTCTTCTATTTATAAACTGATGTTGAGAGGGTGATGCCATGTTCCGGGATCTACACAAACATTATTGCTTTGGAAATTCTAGGAATGTGAATCTAAAACCAGACCTTATATTGGAGTCCTGGTACGTGCTACATTGATACATTTGCCAGGGATTATGTTTGCGAATGTGGAAAGTTATCTACTATACAGAGATGTAGATTTTTTTGGGGTAATTTTAATATCTATTTTGCTTTGTGATACGTTCTCTACTATACATAGTTTGATTCTGTTATTCTGAAGCCAACAAACATCTTTCATTTAATTTTCATTTTGTTGCCTTGGTCCGTTATAACTCATTTGTGCTATGCTGATGACCTCTTGCTATTTTGTAAAGGAGATATTGGTTCTGTGAAAGCAATGATCAGCTGTTTTGATAATTTTTCGAAGGCTACAGGGCTCTTGGCTCTGGCTTCTGTATTTACTATCATGTTTCCTGTTCTCGTAAAACCATAATTTTGTTATATGATTACGTATCTGATAAGTTCTTTGTGTATTTAGCTGATCTTTAGTCTCCTGGTTCCCAAAGATCGCATCTTGCTATCTAGTGTTTCATTATTATGACAATATCATACGTTTGTGACAAAATTAACTAATTCTATGGATGATTGATGCAGGGGAAATATTGAGGTCTCTATGGTGATTTCGGATTCTAACCCTTGCTATGAAGACGCACATATGAGGCTTGCTGCAGTACTTTTAATGTTGCTATTGAGTCTAACTGAGTATTATGTTTGTTTCCTGGTCTTTTCTTTCTTCTGTCATGATCCTGTTTATGCCTGAACATTTAAAAGATGGGAAATAAGTGGACTATGGTTGTGCTACTATTTTGTTTATAGACGAACTTACTACTCTTCTAGTTTATCAAGTAATTAAGTAGATTGTCCTTACTAATCGAGATCGTGTTGCTGATAGTTATGATGACATTTATATCAAGTTATTGATCTTATATAGATCCTTACATACCTTGTGTTTTCTATCTTAATTCATTTAAATATTCTTGCAATTTTGTTGTTATTGATCTTTTGGTTTTTGGTTTGGAAATTTGAGGTTAATTTTGCAAATGTGTGAGGTCTGTATTTTTATCCAGGCTTGTAAATGGTTCAATCATGAACTTGTCTGCCTTTGTTTGTTTATCTTTGTTTATGTTCCTATCTTTGTTAGTATTTTATCAAAAGCTCCAATAAGTTTGCAAAAAGCTCCCAAAAAGTTTGCAAAAAGGCCACAATAGTTTACAAAAAAACCCCTAAATTTACAAAAAACACCCCAAAAGTATTATACATATATAGTTAATATGGTTAAATGGGCAAATGGGCGACCCGTTTATTAAATGGGCGGGCAAAAACCCGCCCATTTAAATAATATTAAATGGGTCATAAATGGGTAAATGGGCAAAACATGCCCGCCCATTTATGGCCCGCCCATTTATGGCCCACCCATTTAATACCCATACCCACCCATTTAACATCTCTAACTGGGTCAAGATGAGGTTGTTATATACTTATATATTAAAGAAACCGAATTGGAAAACCCTACATTCACTTTACCTATTTACTAACATCTAGACTAAAGGTCTGACTTAGCACACAGAGTGCGGGCTTGTTGGGAGATCCCAGGTATATCGTTGGGCTGTATGGCCAGACAAATTCATCATAAGGTGATTGAATTTTGGTGTGTACGATACTCATTTAATGATGTATGTATGCTCTAAAGGAGAGGGAAGTAATACAATAGTATGCTTCCACACGACGTGGGCTTAGACTGGATATAAGGAGGTCGAGGGATGGATCCTTGCTCCCTTGTGTAGGCATCAAAAATTACTTATAGGTCCCAAACACAGCTCAAGACAAAGAGAAGATGAAGAACATCATCATCCAAGTCAGAGAGGATCATCTGATGCAAAAAGTAGCGATGGAACATGCAAAACTACAAAAAGACGGGTCTCAAACCTATATCACAACTGATGAGATAGCGTACACTGTCTCACACTTCCAAGACAGTGTAGTCTGTCTCAAAAACTGAGATAGTAAGAGCTATCTCAGAAATCGCGAGATGGCATGACGTGTTTCTAACGGGTTTTCTTAGGTTTCTTATGATCCACGTGGCTCCATAACTTCTCTGGAACATCCATAAATACAGAGAGGCTGTTATAAGCTAAAAATCCTCCCATAATCCCTAAAAATCATAGCATTTAATAGAATGGGTGTCGGTTACAAACTGCCTAGAGTCGCCTCATTTGGCCGATACAGTAAACACTGTCCTGCCCAAAGGGGTTGATGATCACGGTTTGTTTTAACTTCTTATCTTCAGTAACGGCTTCCAAAGGCTATAAATACCCCTTTGATACCCTTATGCAGGAGACCAAGTAGATCTGAGAGCGGGGACGTGATATTTTGGTGAACTTCGACCACGAGGGAGAGAGTCTTTCACCGTTTTCAAGCAATCGCAAGACCCTTCGGTGTTTCCTCAATATCAATCCTTTATTTTATATTGAGAAGAGTGTTTATCTTACTTTGCTAAGATATCTACTTTTGTTCTTGTTTCCAAGTCTAAATATCAACATCAAGCCTTCTTCATGATCAACTTGGATCATTGAATCGGTGGTCCACGGATCAAAACGTCCCCGGTACAGGCAAATATCCTACACAAACAATGGCTAATAAATAGTTTCTGTGTGTGTTTCTAGGGAATATCCCAATTTTTATTTTCTTTGTAGAGAGAAGTTTTACAAGTGTAAGGCTCACTCTATTGTTTCCATTGTAATGATAAACGATTGTAATGGAAGCTGCAATGAAACGTATTCTTGATACAAACACACTGGAGACCACAGTGGGAGCCAACAGTCTCGACGTCGAGGTTGTCATGTCGTAACTGATCAAGATCCTGGTTGATTCAACGGTCGAGTATGAGTTCGACCAGGCCAAGTTTGAGGAGTATTTCTCCTCATCTTCGTCAAGGTCTTCCTCGCCCTACAAGTGTAGGAAGATCTCATCTTTAAAGAAGGTTTTTCGATCTTCAACTCTGATGAAGCTACGAGTGACGACTCTCACCCAATTATTGTTGAGGCTTCCTCTCACAATGCTACTCTGACAACCAACAAGGTTGGAGGCTTTGCTCACAACGACTCCTCCCCAGTTTAGCGGTCATTCAAATAAAGTTCGCCAACTCTGACGAAGAGTGATTGTCAGAGACAATGTCAACGACTGGCTTGTCAGATTGCTAGAGCTCTAGAACAAGTCGATGGGGTTCGCTACTATGCGGACTTAGACTAAAGGAAGCGTCAAGTAATCCAACAACTCCAACATCAAGTTACTGCCACTTCCTCCAAACCATCGGCGGAGGAATGGGTTCTCGTCAAAAGAGCTCGTTCGACAAAGAAGGAGTGCATCCAAAAGCACCACGCATGTGCTGCACACGCTCGTGCTCTTGTGCAGAAGGCACAATAAGTGAAAACGAAAAGGGGTGGCCGAAGAACCACCAAAATCCTACATAGTTTAGATTCCAAAATCTAAACTTGTGGAAAAATCGAGTTCAAAGATAGCAGGAACTGTCTCCTGTAGCCGAGAAAGTCCTAACTGTCTCGCCAACCGAGACACCAAAGGCTGTCTCGTCCAAAAGCAAGCCTTCGCGGCTGCTTCTTTGCTTTCGTCGACGTCCGCTCCAGGTCCATCTTCCACGGTTGCTTCCACAACATCACACGTGAAGCTTTGGGTTAGTCCAAACCTTTCAAAGTTAAAAATCATGATAGTGGATCGCCTTGGTCCTCTGAATGAACATCGAGGCAAAGCTCCGGTAAAAGAACGCTTGGGTCTGGTGAACAAAACCCAAGAAGTTCCACAGACTAAGGGTCGTACATGTCGTCCCATCAAGACAATCACTACTAAAGGTGTCCCGCCACCTCCAAACAAGCCGACACACCTCAATGTATTTGCTCATGCAACATGCAAAAAAGTGGAAAAGAGGTCTCCCCTTCTGGGAGAGTTCCTATCACCACCCACTTGGGGGTAAACATCGAAGCCCAAGAGCCCATTAAGACTTCACGCTCACACCGGGCACTATAACAAAATACAGTATTGCTAACAAAACAAAAACATCGGTAAAATTTTGAAAAACATCGGGAAAAATCATTCCCAACGCAAAATGCAGCGTCGCTAATGCGTCACCAAAAGTGCGTCAAGAAAAATATTTCACGACGCAAACACACTGCGTCGGTAAAAGCCAACACTTTTGGCGACGCTTCATGCGTCGGGAAAAGTATATCTTTTAGCGACGCATAATATTTTGCGTCGGCAAAAGTATGCAGAATTTTATCATATGCAAAAATGCGCCGGTAAAACTTGTACTTTTGGCGATGCATGCAGTGTCGATAAAAGCCAATGCGTCGGCAAAAGTACATCTTTTAGCAACACAAAACTATTCAACGCTAAAAATTACACTTTTGAAGACGCAAGTTGGCGTCGGCAAAAGTTTAGCTTTTAGCGATGCAGAATGAAGCATCGTTAAAAACTATATCTTTGGCGATGTAAGATAGCGTCGCTAAAAGATATTACTTTTGGCGATGCAATATAGGGTGAGCAAAAGTATAATTTTTGGCAACGCATAATTATGCGTCGGTAAAAAGTTTTGTTTTGTCGACACTAATTTGCATCACCAAAAGTAATATCTTTTCTGTCAACTACAAGCCTACACTGAACCTGAACATCCATAAAAAATTTGCTCCCATTCACATCAACAAAGAAACCAAACATCAAATTATACTCCAAACAAGTTGCATATTATGATAAACAAAGAATTTGCTCCCATTGTAAAATAGTTATATTCATTTCCATTTCCAAGTCAACACTCAAAAGCTTGTTTAAATATTCCAGTTTGCTTGTAATACATGAAGGAAAAAAAGAAACACAATGGAAAGAGAGGAAAAGGTGAAAGAAAAGAAAGAAGAGAACAAATGTTTAAATATTTTAGTTTGCTTGTAATCTCATGATAAGTTGCTCTCTACTTCCAAGATAATTAAATCCAAGTTCCTGCATAACATGAATAAAGAAGCATAAAAAATTTTAAAATTATTTGAGAAAGGCTACACATTCTATAAAAAGTTTTGTGTGTACATATATCATATTCATTAAACCAAAAACATACACATGACAAAAATAAATTTTGTGCAGCTTTTGTGAATTGTGTATTTCTTCGTATTTAGAACTTTCGATTTGCAAATCATAAATCATATATGGTAGATCATCTAACATGAGTCATTTCATAACATGAGTCTACGGTCAACTTTACTAATGTCACAAATTTCTTATGTTGTCTCTATGAAGGAGTTTAAATACTGTAATAGCTAAGAGCATGAAAGGTAGATCATCTAACAAATATCTTGGACATAAAAGTCAGAAGAAAAATATAAAAACAATGTCTTAATTTATTATTGATAAATATGACGTTTCTTGTATGAGTTTAAGGAGATTATCCTGTCATGTCACTGTTATTGTTCTTGTATTTAATCTAACACTTTATTGTCTCAATAATGAAGAAAACAAAATAATGTTTTCTACTAAGAAGACAAATTATATATATTGTAAATTTAATGACAAATTCTATGACATCCAATTGCATAAAAGAGTTCATAGAACGAAGTGGTATAGCGTTTACTTTGAGGATTTGGAAGCAATACTTATGTATCCAAGTTCGTAAATAAATTGTGTTCATCCCTCCAGTTGAACAAAATTAATCCTTGATTAATTTGACTATTAGAGGAAAAAGATATTGACGCTAAGTTTATTAGCATATAGCAAACTTCATGATCTCTTGTCGAATTTAAAATCATTTTTATTGAAAAAACAATTCCATACGTGATTAGTATTCATGCAGAAACCTAATAAAAGAATTTTTTTTAAATTTCAATTTTCTATTTTTACCAAATTTATCAAAGTATTGAACCATATTGCTGATGTGGTTAGGTTGATAAAGTAGGGAATCAAGGTAAAATAGGTGTATAGTGGATGTTTAGTGAACATAAGAAACTATTATTATGTTCACATTTCCATAAGGATACTCTTTATGTATAGAAACACCAGTCCTGGTAATAAAAGTTCCATATGCAGATACAGTTCAACTAACATAGGAGCTGATCCTTTCATTACTGAATGGAATAATAAATTTCTGTGATCAACCCAAAAAGTTTGGTATAAAGACTTTTGTTCTTGGTGTGTCCGTTTCTTTGTAAAATTTTGTCTCTATTTAAGCTGAAACGTGCATGGTGTGAATCATCATAATTTCTACTCTCTATAGAAGGCATTTTATTATCAACGCTTCCCCTCAAGTTCATACAAAAATTATATCAATTAAACGACAATTAATTTTTCTATAGGTAATGAATGCTAATTGCATACATAGTCCAGGTCTAATAGGTCATATGGTTTATTTAATGTAGATCTTAGGTCCACAAAGAAACAACTCTTTTCGCCCAATATTTCAGTGACACGATTAGTGAGCAGAACTTTAAGAAAAAGTTCCAAATGATGCCTGCGATATCACAATTTTCCTGAAATATCTTCATTACCACATAGAGAATTAAATCTCTCCAAAAATCTTGGTAGCTTACCTCTTTTCATCCATTTCAGAACCATCATTTATCAAGATCCCCTCTCGAAGACATCTCGCCAACTCGATTAGACATAAGCTTCTACGTAAGGTACATCTTTGCCATATCCATGTCATCATCCAGTAGATGTTCAAGTTCATCCCTCACCTGTTGAGTGTACAAAATAGTACCCCAAAAATGAGAAGCAAGTGAGTAGAAGTAGAGGACAAAGAAACAGGATTATGATGACATTGTAATTGTAGTTGCTCTTCCTTTAGAATAAGTGCACCTTAGATAACCTTAGATCCACAATAGACCATCATCATCATGACTGACCAAAAGAAGTGCTAATATATAGATCAGGCATCAAAATGAAAAGTATACTACTTCCCTACAAATATGCATAATAATATAACATGTTTTAATAAATGTTGCATAAACACAGAAGCAATGCTTTTAAACATGTAGTAGCAAGATAGAACAAAATTTTCAACTCATTAAACAGGTTTCATTAGAGAAAAACAGAAAAACATTTTACCTTCACATGTTCTTCAACTAAAATCTTTATCAATGTTTTATCTCTGCTCTCCTTCAACCTTTTTACCCTACTAATTGAGAGACGTCAGTCGAGTATAAGTACCTTAACTGAAAAAAATTATATATGTATATATATATGAGGCATTTAAAAATAAAAAAAACTATAACAAAAGATGAGCACTCACATGGGAAAAAAGTAATGTAAACATAATAAGCTCTTTCTCTGAATCCATCCTAAAAATTATATATGATTGGAAAATTAGCAACTAAGAACTTCCTCCTACTACTCCGATCTCCCTCAAATTCATTCTTCTTTCTTAAATTCTCAATTCTACCTTACATTGCTCTCATAAAGGTCTTTGCTTTCACTATCTTTTCCTTTATCATATGACATTCTAGGTTCTTATTCTCTCCATAGGCAAATTTAATATATAACTTCCATCCCAGAAACTTAGCAAGGAATGTAAAATTTCCAAACTTTAAAAGTATATAGATTTCATCAGCAATCAATGTAAAATTAGAGCACACAACTGATAAATTGTGTCACTTGCAAGCGAACAAAACCCTAATCTTCAACAATCATCACTGCAGATTTTGTTAGAAACAAATCTAAACCTCCCTAACTCACTCAACTTTCCCCTCTTGTATGTGCAAATACTATCTAACAAAGTCCTCCACCCTGAATTTCCTCAATTCAGCTCCAAAAAGAAAAAATAGAAACTAATACATCAAAATTAACTAAAACGACTGAAACCCTAATTTCCAACATTTATAACTGCAGATTCACCCAAACCAAAATTTGATAGCAGACCACCCATTCATTGGTCAAACGCGAAGCTAAAAGTGATCTAAACACCATAAGATAGAGAAACTAATTTCAAAAGATACAGAGCTCAACCCATGATTCAAAATTCGATCTTGGAAAGCAAATAACCAAAGAAATGGGTGTTGCGTACCTGAGAACTCTGGAGAGGTCTTTTGCGGGGAAGAGAGAGATGGGCTTTTTGGGCTCGAGGATTAGAGCTTGATGGTGCTATGAGAAGAGGTGAAGAATTAAAATCAGTTATAAATTTATTTTAAAATCGGTTATAAAAACTGTAAATTGAAAAAATAAAAAAACTTACTGTGGGGGGGGGGGGGTTGCCAGGTGATGGCGGTTGGATGTTAGCGGTCGCTGGTGTGGTCGCGGACGGCAACGGGGTCGCAGTGCGCGCAGAGGTTGGCATGGGCAAGCATTGGCGTTGCGCGTATTAGTAGGCGTGGGCGGGCGGGTGCACGCGGACGCTACGGGGATGTGGGCGGCCACTGCGGTGGGCGGCGCCGAGGAGGGCGAGTGGGGGAGGGCTTCTGTAGTCGTGACGGGAACTATATTTGAGAGAGAGATTTTGAGAGAGAGCCCTCCGTTGATTTGAGATTTTGGAAATTTGAGTCTGAGACAGAGGGGATTTTTGAGAGTGAGGTGGGGGATTCTGAGAGAAGGGGGAAATTTTGAAATTTGAAGGGAATTTCTGAGACTGGGGGAATTTTCAGATCCGTAGAGCAGTGAGAAGAGAGGATTACTATAGCTGTGTTGAGGTCGAAGGGGTGGGGAAACGGGGGGCGGGGAAGATGGGGGTGCGAGGACGGTGGGGATGGGCGCGGACAACGAGGGGAGAGAGAGGCTCAGAGGAGTGGAGGGAACAGGGTCAGCGGATGGGGCGTGATCAGAGGAGAGAGATGAGAGCAGATAGGGGAATAGAGGCAGGCGGGGGGACAATTGAAATTTTGGGGGGAACTAATGAAACGAATGAAATTTGGGGTGGATGGGGGGCACTTGAGGGAAACAAATGATTTTTTGGTGACGCAGATGAATATAAAAGCGTGTCAAAAATAGACATTTTAGCGACAAAAAGTAGGTACGTTGTGAAAAAGAGACTTTTAGCGATGCTAACCTAACACGTCGTGATAAATACACACTATTAGCGACGCCAACCCTAAAATGTCGCTAAAAATATATATTTTTACCGACGAAAATAAAAAACGTTGTGAAATCCATACACTTTTAACGACGCTAGTTAAAACGTCAAAAATTTTAGCGATGCTAATTATAAACATGGGGAAAATATATATGTTTTTCCAACGCTAACTAAAATCATTGGGAAAAATATAAATTTTGGCGACGTATTTAACCATGCGTCGGGAATAAGCGTTGGAAAAAGTGCAATTTGTTGTAGTGGGGGTGGTTCTAAACGTGTGACTCCTGAGAATGTCAACAAGGCTTTACATCTCCAAAAGAAATCATGTCCATCAAAAGACAATGTTATACTTGAGGAATCATAACAACAGACGATAGGGTGCTCCGATCATTATGCTGACTAGTTGTACTATCAAATTGGAGGTGCGAACAAATCTCAAAAAAGAAATATTCGAGAAATAAGCTCTCATTGTTCATGCGAGAGGCTCATTAGGGCAGTACTTTCAGAATGTAGCTGTTCTAAGCAAGAAGCCATCCCATAAAGAGTCTCTGGGTTCTAGAGACTTTCCACCAAAGTGTCAAAGTCCAAGTCAAGACGTTTCCGCAAGTGAAAGTCCGCCAACTAGAATGATGTACTCTCAGAAGTCACCATTAATATGGCAGATAAAGGAAATCGGCATTCAACTAATTCTGACCCCAACTTTTCCCCAGGAGGAAGAGTTGATCAAAGGATTTATTAAAGAATGTCTCAGATTCAGCTAGATGCAGAGATTACAGAAGGATGCACGAAGGACTATCTGATGATGAGCTTTCAGACACTTTTTTTGCCATTGCTTCCGATGATACAATGTCTAGCATAGGGCAACCCAGAGAAGCACTCACGATCACTCCTGACCAATTAGCTCAAATGCTTCAAGAAACTCTAGCCAAGTAAAGAGCAGAATTAGAGCTAAAATGAGTATGGAGATGGAGTTGACCATGCAGCAGATTAGGGAATTGCAGGCTCACCAACATCAACCTGAACTAAGTCAACGAGACGAATCTAGTTGTCACAATGCCACGCTGATTCAAGCTAATGTTGAAGACAGTGACATAGATGTAGATGAACATATTTTTACTGACCCTCCTCCTAAAAACAATAACGCTGGGGGTGGTCCAACTGATTCTTCTCAACAACGCCCTAAGAAGGATATGGGTGAGGATAAAAAGATGATGAAAGAGCTAAAGTCAACGCCTTAATGTCCGCTTAGGAGGTAAAGAAGACTGGCATTCTGTGTCCATACTCGAGGGAGTGGGAGTCAATTCTATACCCACCAAAGTTCAATCTAATTAACTTCACACCATTTGATGGGAGAGGCTCGCCTACTCAACATCTGATCTACTTCAAGTCTCACTTGGGCATGATCTCTAGACATGAACCCTTGATGGCCCATTCATTTGTGGGTACCCTTCGTGAGGCTGCTTTTGATTAGTATTGATGTCTCAAGCTAGGGAGCATTAATAGCTAGGATGATATGGAAACCTTATTCCTCAGCAACTTCTTCGACGACGACATTGAAGTATCAATCGAAACTCTTCTGGATGAGAAGCAGAAAGATGGAGAGTCAGTTGACAACTTCATCAAATGGTTTTGAAACAAGGCTATAAACTGTTGAGATCCGGTTACAGAGGAATTCATACTCCAAACTTGCCACAATAATCTTTCTCTAGATGTACTAAAAACCATAGGAGTGGTACCATCCAAAAACTGGAAGGAATTAAAGGTGCACGGAGAACAAGCCGAGCGTTTTCTCAAAAGGAAGAAGGTTGAGAGAGACCAACCGATGGTGAGTTCTCTAAAACAAAATTTCAATCCTTATAGTAGAGGAAAGGCACCAGTGAATGCTATTAATGCTCATCAGACCTCACAACGATAGCCACAGCAGCAATCGCTACAATAGTCATCATTCCAACTGCAGTCTCAACCGCAGCAACAATCTCAGAGGCAACAAAGGACCCCGGATCCAAAATTCCCAAAAGAATACTCCTTCAAAGAAAATGAAGCTCCAGCCATCTTCAAATACCTTTTAGACAACAACAAGATCAAGTTGCCACCAATCATAGATCCAGAGGAAGCTAAGAAGACTTCAGACCCGAAGTATTGTGCATATCACAAGAGGGTCCATCATCCCACCAAGGCTTGTTTTGTTTTTAAAGACAGAATCCAAGCCTTGGTTGATATCAGCATCATAACTACGAAGAAACCAAAAGAAAAGAAGGTGGGCATGAATGCTGTGTATATTAGCTTCAGATCGGTACCTTTATCATGGTTCCAACCAGAACCCATAACAAAGGTGTAAATGAAGACAGTCAATGATGACCCACATGGGCAATGTCAAAAGGAGCTTGTGCTACATACATCCTCTAATGGTGAAGTCTTATGGGTCCATACTGACCTGCTTGAAGATGAACAATGGGCAAGATCGCCCTCAAAGAAGAAATCTAAAAGCCGAAGCAAGTCTTGTTGTCCTACCTCAGTAATTCTAGAGAAAGACGATGAGGGTATTCCAATCCTTTCATTCTCTAAAGATGAACATGAAGTCTTGGTAGCTGACGAAGAACAGGTCTTTGCTACCAGAAGCGGGAATGAATAACGATACAAGTACCCAGAAGCTTTCGATCCGAATACTAAAATATTGGCTGAACTGGAGGTGATTACAACTCATCCTAAACCAACTGACAAGCCTCAATAGCAACCAACTACTAAACAGAAGGAAGCAAAGACAAAACAAAAGGAACCCCAACATAAAAAGGTTCAAATTCCGAAGCAGTCTTGTTTTAATCGACCAATTAGGAGAGACAAACCAGAAAGTTTGAATACTCCATACTGCTTTGATGTCATGGCTCAATTGGCCAACATCCTAGCAAGGATCACTCTATATGAGTTGCTGCGTCTTTAAAAAAGACACCAGGGAAGCTTTGTAAGAAGCTTTGGCTGATTCTGATGTGTTCCTTACTCAGATCAAGCAAGCCCCTAAAGAGCTAGTGCCATTAGTTCAACATTGTAATCTTACAGCTAGACAGTTCCCTTGCATCACCTTCACTCGGGATAATATGCAAGTGAGGAACTCAAAGCATGACAGGCCTTTGTACTTTACCGGATACATTGGCTCGACTGCTGTCAACCGAATCCAAGTCGATCCCGGTTCTGCAGTCAGCGTCATGCCACTTCGATTGATGTATCATCTCGAAATTCTCACTAGCAAATTGGCTTCCACATGCACTGTTATTTACGGATTCAATACCAGTGGGTCCAGACCATTGGGTAAAATCTGAGTGAAGTGCCAGCTTGGAGATTTGAAATCAGAGGTCACATGCTATGTGATAGATGCGGAGACCTCTTATAACTTACTGTTGGGTCTACCATGGATCCATGGTAACGTTATAGTTCCTTCCGCCCTCTATCAGTGTCTGAAGTATGTGGACACTAATGATGAAGTCAAGACGGTGGTTGAGGATAAGTAATCATTTAAGGGATTAGAGAGTTATTTCACTGGCTCTCTTTTATATGATGCTGAATTCGATATTGAACCATCGGCCTATGACACGCACAGTGGAAAAGAAGCTGATACCAAAGCCGGGCTCGATTATGATAAAGGTCTTGTATTTAATAACATTGAACGCTTCATAATCGATCTTGACAGTGGTAAATCATCAGATGGAAGTTGTAACTAGCAACTTATTGATTGTAATTATGTAATAAATAATGATTTAGAGTACGCACATTGTATTAATGATGTAATGCAGGGGCTGTATAATAACCCTAACATACATATGCGCTTTGATCATCTTGCATGATAAAGAAGTGTGTCCAAGACTCCTTTAGAACAACTCTTGACCTTCCCGTCAAGGCAGTAGGTGGAAAAGAGATAGTCTTCGGTAAAGGAGAGTCATGTCCGTTATCAAATCCCTTCTTAAAGAATGACAGTGATGATGAAAGACCTGGTCATCATTTACTCAAATATAGTCCACAAGCACGAAATTATATGAAGAAGTGGGGATACAACTTTGTAATCGGAGAAGGTCTTTTCTTTGATCGA